TTATAAGCCAAATGCTACCTAGGATTGTAATGTTCTAACCTCTTTTCTTTGAAGGATGGACACCCTCTTCCTTTGTGTCTTCACGACAGAACAGAGCAGACAAATCTGTTCTTGGTCCGGAAGATTTTATGGATGAAGAGGTGGGTGCGCAGAACTTTAATTCCAGTTTGTAATTAGTTGGTGTAGCACCTTCACCTTCCTCAGAAAGTTCAGTGTCTGATTTCCTCTTTGTATGTAAGGTTTTATCTTTTAAGTACTTGGATTATAGTGCCCTGGTTGACACTGGATTCTCATTCATTAGAGCATCATCTTATGATGGGGGTAGTTTCTAAAGACAAGAAGGGGATGCTGGGCCAGCATGGCTCAGTGGTTGAGCATCAACCTATGAACCAGGAGGTCACAGATTGATTCCTGGTCAGGGCACATGCCCGGGTGGCCGGTTCGATCCTTAGTGTGGGGCATGCAGGAGGCAGCCGATCAATGATTCTCTCTCATCATTGATATTTCCATCTCTCTCTCCCTTTCCCTCTCTGAAATCAACAAAAATATATTTTAAAAAAAGCATGTAGGAGAGTGCTTCCTGGGTAGCTCAGTTGGTTGGAGCTTCGTCCCGTTACTCCAGGGTTGCAGGTTCCACTCCACTGCAATAAAACGAATATGGGAATAAAGCAAGTCATGTGAAATTCTTGGTTTTCCAGTACATATAAAAGTTATGTTTTTACTCTACCAGAGTCTATAAATGTGCAATAGCATTATTTCTTTTAAAAAATTACATACCTTAATTAAAAAATACTTTATTGCTAAAAAATGTTCACCATCCTCTGAGGCTGTTGGAAAAATGGCACCACTAGATTTGCTCAATGTAAGGTTGCCACAAACTTTCAATTTGTAAAAAATGAAATATCCGCAAAGGACAGTAAAGTGAAGTACAACAAAACAAGGAATTCCTGTACAGGCAAATTTATTTGGAAAAGCCTGTTACCTCAAAAGTGACGTCTTCATTGAGCCAAGTCTATAGCCTTTCACAGTAACTCACGCACAATGCAGTTTGAGCAGTGAGTGCTAGAGAAAGGAGTGTGCAGACACCTGGGCCCTTGGTTTTTTGTTTTGTTTTTATTTCAGAGAGGAAGGGAGGGGGAGAGCTAGAAACATCAATGATAAGAGAGAATTATTGATCGGCTGCCTCCTGCACACTCCATACTGGGGATCGAGCCCACAACCTGGGCACATGCCCTGACGAGGAATCGAACCCTGATGTCCTTGTTCATAGGTTGACACTCCACCACTGAGCCCCGCCAGCGGGCCCAGACTCTCTTCTCAGTCGTCTTCTGCATGTCAGCTTGTTCTTACACTAGATTGTCTCATGGTTGCAAGGTGGCTGCAGTAGTTCCCAGGGGCACAGCCACAATGACATTATTTAGTAGAAGAAAGACTTTCTTCTTGGTATCTTTTCTTTTGATCAAAGAAACTATTTACATACATCTTCCAGTGAATTTTCCCTCCTATCTGCTTGGAAAAATTGATCTACATGCTTATTCTTAAAAAACTAAAAAAATATGTACTGGTTTTAGAGAGAAAGAAAGGAAGAGAAACATCCATTTGTTGTCCCACTTATTTATGCATTCATTGGTTGACTCTTGTATGTGCCCTGACTTGGGATCCAACCTGCAACCTTGGCTTATTGGGATGATGCTCTGACTGAGCTACTCAGCCACGGCTACGTGCGCAGTCCTAAAGCAAGGGAAATGGGATCAAAATGACTGGCTTGATCCCGTGATCAAGACATGAACCTCCATTTCCTAACTCTCCCCCCACCCTAGCCTATACACACCAGGGAGCAGGAGCTTAT